CCAGGCAGTTGTCAAAGAGAAGGGAGCGCGTACCATGTGGACTAACTCCCAACAGCCGAATCCTCCCCTCCTGTTCCTTGTTTGGTTGTTGGAAGAAGCCCATGTGGCACGCGCACCCGTCTCTTTGACCGCCACCTAGTTTCCAATGGGGGGGGGGAATCCATGCAGAAGGAGGAAAAATGCATGGGTTTCTCCCCCCCCCCATTGGAAACCAGCTAGCTGTCAAAGAAAAGGGAGCGCGCACCACATAGGCTTCCCCCAATCCTCCACTCCGGCAAAGGAAGTAGGTGGGTGGGCCAAGCCAAGTGAGCGAGCAAGCAGCAACTAGGCAGGCTGGGGAAACAGGGGGGGGCAGGCCAGGGGAGGAAGCGTTCCAGTATGGGGCCTCTGGAAGCTCAGATACGGGAAGGCACGCTAAATTTCACAATCAGGTATGTATACAAGCTGAAACCCACTCCTGATTTGTCAAGCAGCAAATAAATCTCTGATATCCCATTGAAGGGAATAGGATCAGAATAACAAGATGATAAATCCTTTCCCTTGGAAATTACATTATTGGGTTAAATAAATAATGAACTATTTGTGGATCCTCAGATGTTTCTCTTGATGGAAAGATCAATCTTGAGAAACTGGAATTTATACATGGATTAAGTTGAAGAGCAATGCCTTCAATGAAATAATTCACCAATTGATGGCAGTGTTGATGCACCAAAAGCTCTGACATATTCCTTAGAATTTGTTATTTTACCTCAATGGATGGAGAGTTGCTATGAAAAAGTATAGCCTGAGTAAGACCCATGCTCCAGTGTCCCAGCAACAGCAGGGCCAGCATGCAGAGCGGGCTGAGGCCAAGGTGAACTGAGAGTTTGGACCATTGCGGACGCAGGCAAGTAGATGGTGGGATGGAGGGCGGGGCCATTGGTAGCAGTGCTCTCACTTCCGCTGGCCCCTGTACTCACTGTCTTCTGTAGATGAAAAAAGAGACATTCCTAGTGCTTATTTTTGATCCCAAAACTGGGTCTTATTTTGGGGGAAACACGGTAGGTAGGTAGGCAGGCAGACAGGCAGACATGGATGTGTGGGTGTGGTGTGGTGGAGGAAAGGTCCAGAATAGGGCAAACAGTAGTATTTTGGACAGGTAGGACAACTTTTTATAGCAACAATCAGGGATTAAATCCAACCTTTTAAGCACAGGCAGACATTTAGTTAACTGATTCATAAATCGGTTGTTTGAAATGCAGTCAAAACTCTGTACAGTATTTTAAATGTAGTTATACTATAGATTTAGGATGATTGAACCTCAACATTATGTGGACCCGGGAGGAGTCGGAACTGAGCATTAATTTGCTAGAACTTAGGGCCATAAGGTTGGTGCTACAACACTTTGCACCTTTTATTATGGACCGGCACATGTTGATCCTAACTGATAACATGACAGCTAAGGCGCACGTAAACAGGCAGGGGGGCATGAGGTATTGACAACTTATGAGGCAGGCAAGTGAATTGGGAGACTGGGCGGACCCATGTACGGTCCGTAGTGGCAAAACACATCTCAGGGGTAGAAAACGTTCAAGCTGACTGGCTCAATAGGGCCACGGTGGATCAAGCGGAATGGCAACTCCATCCTTGTATTTTTCAAGAAGTCACACATAGATTTGGGGTTCCAGCGGTTGACCTGTTTGCCTCCCCGTGCAATACACAGCTACCCAGGTTCATCACCAGGTTCTGCACAGGGGCAGAGGGAGTGGATGCCCTGTGGCACCCCTGGCTCCAGGGGCTTTTCTATGCCTTCCCTCCGATTCCGCTGCTGGCCAGAGTGATACGCAACATCATCAACAACAGGGCAGAAGTCATCCTCATTGCTCCTCACTGGCTGCGCTGCAATGGTTTGCGGACCTCAGGGTGTTGTCTATAGAGAGCCCCTGGAAACAAGCAGTTGGTAGAGAGAAGTATATGTTATTGTGGGAAAAATTGTAAGGAAATTAAAATCAAAAATGACAAGTACAACAACAATTAGTAAAATGAATAGAAAGGCAGCATCCAATCCAACATCTTCACCCTTAAATCAGTGCACAATTGAGAGCACACTGGGTATAGAGAAAGCAAGCTCAACAATGAACCTTCAATGTATGCAAGATGTATTAGCAATGATACAATAAACAATGCTGAAAACACAAGAAACAATTACAAAAACACAAGAAACAATTACAAAAAAGCATGAAGAAACAATTACAAAAAAGCATGAAGAAACTAGGAGAAATCATGAAGAAATTAAACTAGAAATGGGAGAAATGAAGAGTGAAATTAGAAGAATAGATGATAGAATAGGGAAAATACAAAGTGAAGTAATGAAAAATGAAGAAAAAATTCAAAAAGTAGAAACAAAGGTAGAAAAAATGGAGAAGAGAATAGAGATGGTAGATGAGAAGCTGACTACACTAAACAGACAATTAGGGGGGAAATAGTGTTTTTGGAGCTTGAAAAAGCTGGCTTCTTTCTGCGCTTTCAAAAATAGTAAAAGAAAAGGAAGAGGATTTAGAGGAAACAATCACAGAGATTGTTGCGAACATATTACAAAAAAACAAACAAGAAATGAGAAGGGTCATAGATGAGGTGACAAATTATGCCAGGAGACATAGGCTCCCAAAAGAAATCCACGTACAATTTACTAGAAAATCGGTAAGAGATGAAGTATATAAGAAAGTGAGAGAAGAACAAATAACATATAAAGGAAGAGAGGTACAAATCCTGAGACAAATCCCAAAAATAGTGAGAGACCAGAGAAGTCAATATCAGTTCCTTACACAACAACTAATAAGGTACAATGTAATGTTCAGATGGCTCACACCATCTGACCATCTCACATCAGAGGGAGTGATTATTACCTGGCAGGATAAAAGATATAAAATAGATACAGTCGAGAAAGCACATGAGCTCTTTGAACATCATTTTACCGCTGAGGAAGAACAAGAAAGTAAAGAGGAACCAGAGAGTAGAAGTCAAGAAGAATAGTCAGTTGAAAACAGGGAAGAAGAAAGAGAACAAAGAAGAAGACAGGAAAGAGAACAAATAGAACAAGAAGGTAGTAAATAGGAATAGAGACAAGAAATGCAAGGAAACTAAGGGCGGCACACAAATAATACAATGGAACAAGAAATTAAGTTACTCTCACTAAATATAAATGGATTAAACTCACCGGAAAAGAGAAGGCAAACTTTGACTAGATCACAAAAAACAAATATGGACATAGTATGCCTTCAAGAGGTACATATTAAAAACCAATATAACAAACTACTAGAATATCCAAAGTTAGGAAAATTATTTATANCAAAGAAAATCTTTATAAAATGTTTTATAGATGGCATTTTCAACCTACAAGGTTAGCAAAGATGTTTAAGGATAATGTCACCAGATACCAGGTTCATACTATCATATGTGGTGACCATGTCAAAAAGCGAAAAAATATTGGACAAAAATACATACATGGGTGGAAAAAATGATAAAACAACATCTAGATTTTAAACCAGAGACATTTTTGATGGGCATTTTATCCTGCAAGAGATCCCAACAGATGAGGATATGATTAGAAAAATATTACAATATGCAGAAATGGATAAGCTAATACTTACAATAAAGGAAAAGAAAGAAACTGAATATTTTTTGACTTGGGACATTTTTTTTATCAATGACTAGCTGACAAAAACAGGAGCTAGAACAGGGAAATATATGGAAGGATCAATGATATAAGAAAGATGCGTTAACTTGGTTAAACAAATATTATGATTATTATTACTATCAATATTAATATAGGTTATATTAATGCAGTGAATATTGTTGTAAACACTTTGATTATTATTTCTTAAAATGATTTGTACCCATACAACACTGTTCAATTGGAATTGGAATTTTTGTATGTTATAAAAAAAAAAAAACACCTCACCCTAGTTTCCGATGTTAATTGTGGGTTTTTCTACCCACCCATCCACTTGTATGGGGTCACTGCACTCTTATTTCTGAAAGGTTGCAATCTAAAATATTAATCTTTGACAGGAGAAGTATGCTTGTATATATCAGTGTTTGTGATTTGTAGCACAAATAGCCCTATTCTTGGAGAAAAAGTGGGCTGATTTTCCAATGGTTTGAGATAGCATAGCTTTTACAAAAGAGGCAGGAGATCAAAATGGATGATTTCCTGTTTTAATTTCTTTTTTTGCTAATGTTCCATTTTTCTCCTAGCCTTTTGTTTTGGTCTGATCTGCGTGCATGCATGCATGCCTCTCCTTTTCATTGCTCCAAAGTATGACAACCTTCTGTCCAATTCCCAACACATTTTTTGGCTTTGCAAAAATGTTCCCTGGTAAACTGTTTCCATTTCCTTGCCCTCTGCAACTATTCAGAAACATTACAGAGATTACCCAATTGCCCTCAGGAAGAAGAGGCAGCTGGAGCAATAGACCAGCCTGACAGGGAGCTTGCTCAGAGAGCCCCCACAGAAGGGGGCAAAAGGATCCCTTTGGAGTCGAAGATGAAGCACAAGCGCCTGCTTTTACTCCTCTAATGCTGATGATTGGGGTGGATGAATAGGGAAAACATGGAGAAAATTGCTGAAGATCTTCTTTAGCCTGTCTCTCACTGGGGATGACAAAAGTGGGAAATGTAAGCAAAACCAAATGCTCAGGTGTGTATTTGTATATGGTTGTAACTTTAATCTGCATACATTTTTATTTCCGCAGCTGTTAGGATTAATAAGAGTTAAGGCTATTTGAAATGTACTGATTTGCACATGCAGTTCTTCAGTTCTGGTCTCTGTTTGGGCTATTTTTAATACTGTGTTTTAATGTTTTGTTTGTGTTAATTGTACATGTGTGTATGCATATGTTCTCATTATATGAGTTTTTCATTGAGCCACTTGTACTTCTTTTCCTGCAAGTTGAAGGAAGAATAGTTCAAAAGTCTGGATTGGGATTTTCAATTTTCTGTGGTCAAATTTTATCCAATAGGGAAATATTACTGTTGATTCACAACTACAGTGCTCCAAAGATGCTGACCATTCCTGTCACCCTCAGCTGATACAGCTTCATGGAAAGTAATAGGACTTGTACTCTAATTCATCTGAAAGGTATCCAATGGCTTTTAAGTATTTTCATTGATGTGACATCCAATCCTGTGAGGCCTTGGGACAAATTTAGTGGATAAGAAACAGATCTAAATATTGCCATATCTTTTTTTTTTTTTAAATATTTTATTCAATTTTCACATTCCATTTACAATCATTTATATACAGAGTATTCACTATAAGAAAAGAAAAAAGAAAAAGGGAATAAAACGAACAAGTAAAAAGAAAATACAACTCATCATTCACAACCCCACCTAACCC